AGCTCTCAATTCTTCTCCCATATCCAGAACCCCTTTCTCCCATCCAGATCTCGAACCCCTTTTCTCCATTTTCTCCAATCATCAGTTTTCACCCCTTCCATCATCGATCACCATTCTCATCACTGGTTCCTCATCATTGATCTACTTGCCTTCGCCTAAAAACAGTTGCAAGTCATTTCCTCCATCTCATAGCAGCCGAACAGCCCCTGGGTCTCCCCTTACCTCTCTCAATTGCCAGCTTCCTCAATCTCCTGTCATCTTCACTACTTGGGCCTCCATTTCCGACAAGATTTCTTTTCAGCCTAATTCTTTCTCCTTCTAGGTATACTCGAAGTAGGGGTTTTTGGGAAGGTAGTGAGAGAGAAGAACGGAGTCGGGTCCCGTGGATGGGATCCCTCCAATCAGATCTGGATTTACCTTTCTCCATAAAGTTTTGCGATGTTTGTTTTCTTTTGATGCTTTTCAGTGAATTTTTTATAGTCTATAGTTAAATTGTATGAATTTGCTGGAAAATGAATGATAATCAAGCATATTTGTTTTATTTTCTGTTAAATTTTCATTGAAAATCTGCATGTGGATTGAAGTTTGATGTAATTTCTTTGGCTAGAAATGAAATCTGCAGAGAACCCTAAAATCCTAATTATTGAACTTAAGTTTGATATGTTTTTACCCATTTCGGTTAATGGATTTTGTTTATGATAGAAAGGAATAATTAAACTCATGATTCTGGTTTGGAAGTGAATAGAATGAAGAGTCAGGTTTTCTTCAGAGGTTTTCTTCAGTGGTGTTAGAGAAGGGCAGAAAGTTGCTTTAATTCAAAAGCTGAGTTTTGCTGAGGGACAGCTTCCAGTTAGATATTTGGGGTTGCCTTTGATTTCAAAAAAGCTGTCTCCTGGGGCATGTCAACCTATTATCAATAAAATTCATTAGAGAATTGGCTCTTGGGCAACGAAATTCCTTTCATATGCAGGTAGAGTTCAACTAGTTAATTATATTCTATTCCACATTCAAGTTTTTTGGAGTGGTGCTTTATTGATTCCTAAGAAAGTGTTAAAGCTAATTGATGCTGCTTGTAGAAATTTCATTTGGTGTGATAAATGGAATTATAATGCCATGTCTCTTGTAGCATGGGATGATGTATGTGTGCCAAAGAAATAAAGGGGACTAGGGGTGAAGCAGTTGCTGCATTGGAATAAGGCAGCATTAGGCAGACTGGTCTAGAATATATGTCAACATCAAGAGTCGCTATGGGTTAAGTGGGCATAGGTGGTGCTGTTGAGGGGTGAAAATTTTTGGAAGGTTAAAATTCTAGTGGATTGTGCTTGGACATGGAGGCAAGTTTTAAAGCTTTGTCCTTTATTGAAAAATATCATTTGGATGCAAGTGGGAGATGGAAGACAGGTTTCACTATTCTATGATTGGTGGGCAGGTGAGGTAAGGTTCTGTGAGTTGATCTCAAAGGATGAGATTGCTGTTTGGGCCATGACCTTACAATTAGTCAGTGGTGGGATGGTTTAGATTGGACCATTCTAGATAGTCTTGTGAGAAGACAACCCATGCTTGTCTAGATTATTAGATGTCAAAAACTATCTCAACAAGTGGACAAGGCTATATGGAAACCTGCAAAGAATGGTTTGTTTACTATTTTGAGTTGCTATGAGTTCCTAAGAGTGAAATGCCCTAAGGTAGAATGGCATCATATTGTTTGGGCAGGGTGCATTTTCCCATGACATAGCTTCATCTTTTGGTTGGTATTGTGGGGTAGACTAAAGACTAGAGCTTTGCTAACAAGTAGAGGTCTGAGAATTGAGAAAGGGTGCTGCTTGTGTTGTAGATATGATGAAACTTGTGAGCACCTATTTTTTTATTGTATTTTTGCTAAAGAAGTGTAGAGGTTAGTCTTGGACTTCTTGAATATTCACAGACAACCAAAAAGGTGGAGTGTTGAATGGCTATGGTTAAAGAAGGCATGTAAAGGTCGATCGGCGCAGTCAAACAAGTTGAAGGCTGCGATAGCTGCCACTATATATATGATTTGGCAGGAAAGAAATAGGAGAGTAACTCTTTGTAAGTTTTTGGTTGAAAAGGATGTATATAATGAGATAGATAATTTTTTGAGATTAAAGATCTGAAGGGTGTAATTCCCCGGGTGTACCTCGGAGGAAATTGTACATGTCATTTGACGTTTAATGGAAAACTTGCCTTTTTCCAAAAAAAACCTCATGGTTCATGATTTTTACATGAGATGCAGAAAATATAAAAGTAAAAAAAAAAAAAAAAAGATGTAGGTAGATCCAAAACACATGAAGAAGCTGTGGTGAATCTGGTAAGAAATTGAATTTTAATAGAGCCCTAAAAATCTACTAAGAAATTGAATTAAATTTTTTTTTTTTGAAGTTTATGAATCAAGAAATGGGCGGGTGATGGCAATTTGAAATTTCAATAATTTTTACCCACATGGGATGTGTTGCTGAAAAGGGTGTACAATTCCTGTGGACAATTCTGGTAACCATTTTTACCAATATATACCATGTTAGTGATAGTATAGTTTCAGCAATAAGGAGTATGTTGCTAAAGAGGGTGAAAAATTCTGGTGGCCGGCTCCAGTGATTTTTTTAGCAACATGAACCACGTCGGTGAAACTTTATTTTCAACAACAAAGGGTATGTTGTTGAAAAGGGTGCCATGAATCAGCAACGTGAACCTTGTTGCTGATGTATTACCAACCACAGCTTCTCCAACAAAGGCATCAACAACATGGTTCATGTTACTAAACTGCTTTCAGCAACATGGGATGCACTTTCACCAACATGCTCCCATATTGCTAAAAAATGGATTTTTAGTAGTGGATGAAAGATGATTGTCTCTTATTGTGCAATCAAAATAAAAAAAAAATTATTGAAAGTCATTTTTACTAGAAAAAAAAAAAAAAAACCAAAGAATGGGATTGCATACAAATGTTAAATTTAAGAATAATTTTGAAAATTTTTTAGCCTGCAGTAGAGGGATCCGTCCCTGAGAGGAGCCATCAGCCATCACCATCTTAAAATCAACCTTTTTCTTCTATGTACCGAAAAAAAAAAAAAAACCTTCTTCTTGCCCATGGGCTCTCAGTTTTGACAAAACTGCATGGTACATATTACTTCTATTTTTTAAGGCCATCATATGTCTTTGAGCTTACGTAGTCCTAATTTGAAACTAATTATTTTAATCAATTTAATTACAAATAAATTATTTAGTTTAAAATTAAAAAATTTATAAAAATTATTATTTATTATTATCTTAAAAAATTAAATCTTAATTTATAAAATAAATAATAAACTCTTTATCAACTTGATAACCCCTTTAAATATGGATAATGATATTGGCATAATCTTTTTATATCATTTTTTTATATAATTTTTACATGTTATTAAATAAATAGATATATTTAATATTACGAGTTTCAAATAAATAAAAAGAATTAATTATTGAAATGATACATAAGATTATACAAAAAAATAATACAAAAAAAGTCCCTAAAAATTATTATAATAGGATATGTTCCTTTTCCATTTAGAAAACCCTAATGACATGTTTGGGAACTTGAATTTGGTTTGATTGTATTTGAATTTGGTGCTCTAAATTTAAATACATTATTTGTTTTACTTAAATGCAATGTATTTGGCGGTTCAAAAAAAAAAATGCAATGTGTTTGAATTTTGTCTAAATACATGTATTTAAAACTTTGCATTTCAAAGTTAAAATTATATGTATTTCAAATGCATCCTCTAACTCATGAATTTCAATTTTAAATTCTTGTATTTCATTAAAATAATTAAAAGATGATTTAATTTAACAAGAAATTCAATTTTAAATACGCTACATTTTAATATATCCAAACAATATAATGAAATATATATGAGTTTAAAATTTATTTTTTTTTTAAATTAATTCAAATAATGTATTTTGAAATACATGTATTTAAAATTTATGTATTTTAAATATATATATTTCAAATACACACATCAAATACAAATACATGTTTCTAGATACAACCTAATAGACATAGAGAGTGACATGACTCATTAGTTGTCATCATACAAAAGTTAAATAGGGAGAGGGAAACATAAATCCCAAATATTAACTATATATTTTTTTTAAGTTTTGTTTATAATGATCCTTGAAAATTTTTAGATAAATATTATTATAAAGATCTGGATACGTAATTTATTATTTTGTTATATCATGGTCTTTGATCCTTAAAATTCTAACATCTAATATGTGGTATCAAAGTCATTCTACATGGGTTTAGGATCCAAGTCTCTTATTTTTATTATGTGATGAACCGATTAAGATTTTTTGATGTTGATGTTACACGTTAGCTTTTATGATCAACATTAAAATAAATGTTATGTGGTTGAATAATAAAGGCTTTAATAAAACATACCTCTGTAATTCTGTCTGTATGAGTCAAATTTGGTATTTAGAGGCTTGACTTGATTGATTTATAAAAGCTGAACAAATTTATGTTAACATTAACCTCTCTTAATCAAGCTTTTATGTATCTCTAATTAAATTTTGCTTCTATTAAATTTATTGATTTTGGAGACTGAAGAGTGGTTCACAGGTCAAGAAATTGCATAAAACGGCTCATCAAACTTGATGCGGCCTTGAAACTTTGAGAAGATTTGATTTTCTTTTGTCCTAATCTCTCATTAATGACTTGGGGTGTCGTAATGTCACCTTAATAAAATTGGGTTTTTTGGAATCCCAATTTGAATTAGAGCAAAAAAAGAGTTGATCAGGGTTCGGAATCCCAATCCATTAACAACTCTAACTAATAAATAATAATAATAATAATAATAATAAGAGGGATAGGTAAAACGCAGAAGGTGAGAACCAAGAAAAGTAATTGTGATAGGGATGATTACTAGGAAAACTACTACTTGGTCCTTTAGTAGTTTTGTTTAGTGTAAACTTGTCCCTAAGAGACTTAATAAAATTACATAATAATGGTTGGATATTGAATTCAGAATTGAATACAATATAATCTTTTTGTCTTTTTCAAGTATTCAAATTAAATAATTTTCATGAATGATTAGGTGATATAAAAATAGTTGAGTCTTCTAGACTTATGAATTTATTTAGTAGTTTTGTTTAGTGTAAATTTGTCCCTAAGAGACTTAGTAAAATTCCATAATAATGGTTGGATATTGAATTCAAGACTGATTGCTATATAATCTTTTTATCTTTTCAAGTATTTAAATTAAATAATCTTCATGACTGATTATGTGATATAAAAATAGTTGAGTCTTTTGAACTTATGAATTTATATTATCAAACTCTTCTATTATTTAACGTCTTATTGTTTTGTTTGAATTAACCGATTTAAAAGGAAATTTAAAAGAGGGCTTGGGGATTTGGAATCCCAATCGGAAGTAGGGCAAAGGGGTTATTGGGATTGGACATCCTAAATCTATAAAGGAATCCAACTAACTAAAAAAAATGCAAATAGAAGTTGAGGGAATAGTATTGTTATTTTACCATTCAAGAAATTGCATAATGGTGTTGAAGTTTGACTTGAACTTGTTTTTCATAATGGGTGAAGGTGTTAATACGTAACCAATTATAAGTTACTGTGCAAGTCTAACATGATGCGAGGGTGTCGACACTTAGATAATTTACAGCAATCAAGCATTGGGAGTTTTTGAACCTTTTAATGTTAATTATGTATTGTTATTTATACATAATGCATATTAAACCTTACGTGAAGAATATCTATTAATATAATCTCATTTAATGATTATATATGCACAAAAAATATTTATTAGGTGGTCTAATTTTATAAATAATAAAAATAATTGTTTATATAGTAAATATGTATATTAATTTGTTCCGTTTAGATTAAAATATATATTAAGTGTAATACATAAAATATTTATCAATATTTGGAGGTTAAAGATATATGATTAGTGGCAAATAAACTATTGATATAACATGTTTTTATGTTTTGGTTTGAAATCATTTTGTGAATATTACCATGCACATAATATATGCTATATAACACATCTTGAAGATTAAATTTTAGAATTTTGTTAAAGTAACTAGTCATAATTGAAGATACATAAGTTTTATATATCCATAATTTATATATTGTAATATTCTTTTGTTAAATTTTTTGAAATTGGTTATACTACTTATTTGCAAAATTTTTAAGTTTCACTACTAATATGGAAATTTATGATTATAGAATAAATAAGTAGATAATTGTGAAACTTTAATTCTCATGAAAAATTGTTTATCTTCATATGTGGTTTATCATATAGGTTTTTCTAGCATTGTGTTTTTTAATAAGGAAATAAAGAGTCCATATTTGGATGTAAAGAACATACTTATAGTTGCCAATAAACTATTTATAAAAATTAATTATGCATATGGAGAAAGTATGATTGTTATTTTCTACCAATTCTATGAAAGTTAAGAAAATTTTCCAACAATATATATATTAAAAATGCATTAAGGATTGTTAAAGATTACAGTTTCAATGATTTGTTAAATTGTATCAAGGCAAACAACAATGATACAAAGTAATTGAGTATGATTTTACTCATATTGTATTTTTATTCAAGATAAAATTATATATTTTCATATGTGGGTTTTAGCATATGAGTTCTATAGTTTGACTACTCAATTTTTGAAGGACAGTGATTGGTACACACTCCGGTTCAATGCACTGCGTGGCACAATCATTAAAAAATCACTATTTTTTAGTCTAAAATTAAAGACCGATAAGTTTAATGATATAATCATGCACATATGATACAAAAACCGATTGAATTGATTGCACTTATATTATATTTTTAATGACTAAACCAAAAGTGTATCAAAAAATGTGTTGAACCGATGGTGTACTAATCATTTTCCATTTCTAAATCTCTAAAAAGGTTTTGTGGAATTAAAGTTTGGGTATAACTCATGACATATAATTTAAGGTTAAATCGTCGATTACATAACATATTTTGTTGGCAATTAAATTACCTTTAAAGAATAATTATACATGTCTATTATGTATATTGGTGAAAATCTAATTGTGGTAGTGCATGAAATTTTTAAAACCTTAAAGAAAAGATATTTGATAAAGTTATAAGAACTTTTGA